CCCAAGGCTGTTTCCTGTTTGTGCTTAGCCTGCCTTTGAATTCTGCTCCGCTCACACTTCTTACGGTCTGCTTAGAAAACATCGGGCTAGAGATGACGACGAGAGAGTCAAAACGACAAGGTTTGAAGCAGCAGTTTTAACAATGATTTCTCTCTGCATGCATCCTACTGTGCATCCACATGGCAACGCAATGCGCTGCATACCAGAGACTTCTCCGACACTCGCCTCAGCGAAACAGAAGCACTCCCATTTCCCTCTGCATACTACCCTGCCTACTACCCTGCATACTCCCCTGCATACTACCCTGCATACTCCCCTGCATACTACCCTGCATACTCCCCTGCATACTACCCTGCATACTCCCCTGCATACTACCCTGCATACTCCCCTGCATACTACCCTACATACTCCCCTGCATACTACCCTGCATACTCCCCTGCATACTCCCCTGCATACCAGAGACTTCTCCGACACTCACCTCAGCGGCACAATCCCCGGCTCTATTGGTCAGCTCGCCAGTCTCGCGTACTTGTATGTGAGCGTGGGGGGGGGAGGGGGGAGGGGGGTGGTTGTTGTGGGGCATGCAAGGGGTGTCACACTCACACACGCATGCATATGGCCTTTGAGTCACCTCACCCTCCTCTGCTCAAGCCCATCTGCTTACGTAGTTCTTTCTTTACTGTTTTTTGTAATGTATATATACATATACATATGTACATTAACAAGCGTAAGCTCATGATCACATTAGTGATCCGTACCATATCCTCAGTCCACGGCCCACCTACTCCTCCCATCTGTCTGTTTTGTTGCATCTGTCGCTCAACAATCAACCGCCCTGCCACAGGAACCTCGCCCACACCAACTTGTCTGGGTCGCTGCCAGCCACCCTTGGTGCTCTCTCCAAAGTCTCTCTATTGTTGGTCCCCTACACCTCACCTCACCTCACCTCACCTCACATCGCCCTGTTCTTCATCAATCCATCCATCCATCCATCCATCCATCCATCCATCCATCCATCCATCCATCCATCCATCCATCCATACATACATACATACATACATACATACATACATACATACATACATACATACATACATACATACATACATACATACATACATACATACATACATACATACATACATACATGTATGAACAGCGCGTACGAATGTTTGATCTTTGGATAGTTGCCGTTGGCTTCCTCCTTTGCCCCGCACTCCACACTCTTCTCCCTACTCTTCACATTCCCCTGCCATCTCGTCCTCTTCAGAAACATTAATGCAGGGGTGACATGCGGCAGGGCTGGCAGCAGCTGTGAGATTCAGCAGAACGTCTCCTCCTTCTTCTGCCGGGCTCTCTGCGTTGATTTCTGTGCCTCATGCACCCCGCTCAATGGTGAAAATCGAAGGATTTTTTTTCATGTCTCTGCCTGTCTGCGTGGCTCGCATTGCAATGGGATGGCATCTCGTGTGCCTTTGTGAATGTGGTAGTTGTGGCAATCGCAACGCCACTCGTTAATCTGCATGGCACTTGTTAATCTGCATGCCACTCGTTAGCCTTCAGCCAACATGCCATCTGCCAGTTTGTATAGGCATCACAGCTCCCAAGCATAACTTCTCTACCCCTCCACACCCCAATTCCCTCCCCTCCTCTGTCCCAACAGGCCAACGTCGCCACCCTCCTCCCCCTCCACCCCTCTCACCTCCTCTCCCTCCCAGCCTCGCTCTCATGACCCCCCCACCCCCTCCTCTGTCCTCTCTTCTTACCGTCTCCTCTCTACTCGCCCCTCCTCCTGCTCCTCCACCCTCCACCGGTTTACCAACATCTGCAATCGTGGGGATATCCGTGGGAGCGCTGTGCCTGCTTGTGGCTGCTGCTGCTGCTGCTGCTGTCGTGGCTGCTGTGTATGTGAAGCGGGGAGATCAGGATTCGAACCTACAGCCACTGCTAGCTGCCTCAGGTAAGAGCAAGAGCATTACTTTGCTCAGTACAGTGCCACGAATCTAAGAGGTATGTGTGTGGCATGGCTGGCTGGCAGTCACGACAGCCATGTCCACCGTTTTCACTGTTGCCTGCCTCACCCACCTCTCTCCCACCTCTCACCCACCTCTCTCCCACCTCTCACCCACCTCTCTCCCACCTCTCTCCCACTTCTCACCCACCTCTCACCCACCTCTCTCCCACCTCTCTCCCACCTCTCACCATCGTCTCACCATCAGCTTCCACACTCTTCCCTTTTCCTCTCTCCCCTAACCCCCCTCTCTCCTCTCTCTCCTCTCTCTCCCCCTCTCCGTCCTCCACGTCAGCATCCCCTGTCTTTGGTCGCTCCCGCTGTCCAAAGTTCCCCGTATCCCTCGTGGAACAAGCAACGGGTGGGTGGAGTGAGGTCAACAGGGTGGATAAGCAGGGGTGGAGTAGCAGCAGCGGTGGCACCACGAGCAGCAGCAGCGCCAGCAGCATTGGCAGCAGCAGCGGTGGAGGGCAGAGGTACAAGGCAGTGAGTCCTCTCGAAGCGCGCCAGGTGTGGTTCGTTGTGAGGCGAGGCAACGACGAGCTTTCCACAGACTTCCAAAAAGAGGTCAGTGAGCTGGGTATGGTTCTCCTCTGCTGCTGTTGCTGCTGCTGCTGCTGCTGCTGCTGCCGCCGCCGCTGCTGCTGCTGCTGCTACCCCCGCCGCTGCTCCCTCCACTGCCGCGTTTGGTGCCAATGTTTGTACCGTGCTATGCCACTCACATTTTGCCCTTGCAACTTTTAAATTGTTCCTTTCCTCCCTTCCCAGGTGGCCACGCTTTGGTCCATCCACCATACCAACCTGCAGCGACTGCTGGGGCATTGCTGGGAGAAGCACGACACTGCCCTTGACCCTGACTCGCCTGCTGCTGCTACTGCTGCTGCTGCGGCTGGTGGTGCTGCTGCTGCGGCTGGTGGTGGTGGTGCTGCTGCTGCTGCTGCTGCTGGTGCTACTAGCTCTAGTGCCGGTTCCAAAAGTGCAGAGAGTGCAAGTGCTGATTCTTCTTCTGCTGCGGCGGCTGCTGCTCCTGACAGTCAGGCGGTGGAGCAAGCAGAGGAGCAGGTGCTAGTGTTTGAGTGGGTGCCAGGAGGCAATCTGCACAGCTGCCTCGTTGCAGGTGCGTCTATACTTGCCCCCACCGCCACTCTTCCCTCTCCACGCCAATCCCTCTCAACATGGCCAAATCTCGCTCCATGTCCTTATACATATATATAAATACATATTTATATAAGTATATATTTATATATTTATGTGTACATATATATACCCTAAACCCTGATACATAAATATCACTGTCAAAGCCATCTGTCGCAATGCCTTTGTATTTGAAAGCCTTTGTGTCCCAATGCTTTAGTATTTCAAAGCCTTTGTATGTCAAAGCCTCTGTCGGTGCTTGTCTGATTTGCACTAGAAATTGCTTGCGTTACAACTGTCTTGCATTACAACTGTCTTGCGGTACAACTGTGTTGCATTACACAGCAATCTGTTACACCACCCACGGTCTTTGCGATCTCGCATTGTACCCTCTGTCTGTTCCCCTCTGTTCCTCATGTCCCCACTGTCCCTTCCTTCTTCACCTCTCTCCCTCTTAAGTCCTCTGCCCCCTTCCTCCTCCTCCATGACACCACCTCTACTTACACCTCCCCCACTCTCCTCCCCTCTCCTCCCCTCTGCTCCCCTCTGCCCCCTTCCTCCTCCCTGCCATGCAGAGGGGTGTGCGCCCCTGTCCGCATGGCAGTGCCTGGATGTGACCGCGGGTGTGCTGCGAGGGCTGAAGCACATCCAGAGCCATGGGGTCGTGCATGGCCACATACACCCACGCAACATCCTGCTTGACACCGCGCTGCAGGTGACGTCCGAACCATTGTGTAAGTGACCTCCCATCTGCCCTGCAGGTGACATGCTGAGTGACACACAGGTGAAGTCGTATCTTCCCTGCAGGTGAACTGCCATCTGCCCTGCAGGTGACCTCCTGTCTGCCCTGCAGGTGACCTCCTGTCTGCCCGGCAGGTGACGTGAGATGCAGGTGTTCAACTCTGCACACCGTACCTTCTTCCCATTCTCCCATCTCCAGACTCCATCCACATCATCCCACCAACCATCAGCATCGTCTCTCCCTTAACCCCTGCATTTACGCCGCTTGCTTCTTGGCCCTCCCCTCCCCGTTTCCTCACGCCATACCTTCCCCTCAGCCTGTCTTGGCTGGTTGCATGGCCGTGAAAATGGGAGACCCGCTCCCATCCATCCCCACAGCAGCAGCAGCAGCAGCAGCAGCAGCAGTACCACCACCGGCAGCATCACCAACGCCAGCGCCTTCAGCAGGGAGGGTCACACGGCTACCTGCCAACCATGCATACATGGATCCAATCCTTCATGCTTCTGGACGCACCACTCCCACCACCGATGTCTTCAGGTCCGTGCCGCTCAAGTCACCATTCTAGAATTCACTCAGGGAAGTTGTTGCACTACCCAACTCTTGCAAACTGCTCACTCGTTTGTTTAAGCCGACTCACATGCAGGAACCTTTTCTGCTGATTGCGTGTGCTTCCGCTTCCGCTGCTTGTTGCTTCCCTCCTCCTGCCCTTACTTTCTTCTCCACTCTCCCTCGTCCCCCCATCCCCACCTGCCAGCATTGGTGTGGTGATGCTGCAGCTCATCACTGGCCGCCCTGCCCTGATACCAAAAGTTGCAATCAACAATCAGCAAGACAACAACCTGGGTACCGGGGGCGGTGGCAGTAGCAGCAACAGCAGCAACAGCATCAGCACAAACAGTTACAACAGCACCAGTAGCACGAGCAGCGGCTCTAGTGGTGGCAGCAAAGCAGTGCACATTCGTGCCTGGGTGAGTGCGGTGGGGAACCTCAAAGTTGTTCTTCTCCTTGTGTTTGCAATGCAGAGCTGCTGCAGGAAGGTGAGTGGCCTCCTCCCTTTCAGTCCTCTTCCTCCCATCTTAACACATAATGAAACTCACATCCCCATGCATGCAGGCACAGCACATGGTATCGCGCAACATCACGGCCAACCTGCGCGCCGCCCACCTGCCCTCAGCACCCGACGCCATCGTGCTGCCCATGGTGCGCCTCGCCCTCTCCTGCACCGCTTCCGACCCCCTCTCCCGCCCCACTGTCACCGACCTGCTCCGCTCCATCAAGGCTCTCAAGCGCTCCCTCTCCACCCACCCGCGCCCTGCCTTGCTCGCCAACGCAGGGGCGAGCGGGGATGGTGAGACCCCCGGTGCTGCAGGCGGTGGGGGCGCTGGGCAGCAGCAGCAGGGCTGGGAGGATGGCGGTTTCAGTCAGAATGCATTAGATGCGAAGCTGGATTGGCTCATGGACGACGAAGATAGTGGTGTGTTTGTGACAGATGTGTAGAGTAGAGAGAGAGGGACCTGGTTAGTAACTACCGTAATACCCCGGATAGAAGCGCACCTGCGCTTATAATAAAACATTGTTTTTTGGGGGGGTGCGCTTATAATTGAGTCAGATTTATAAGCGCATGCGCTTGTATAAAGGATAAAATGAAAATCAATTTTGAACACACCATTGTGAAGCTCTCAATAAGGCGAATTCAACCAACCATGCACCAAGTGGGATCGTGCATGGTTTTCAGGCAGAAACCGCAGCGGTTCGGTTTCCCACCGCACAATGTTGTCTGGAAACATCGAATGTGACAGCCGTGACGAGGATGTTGTCGTGCGGCCCAATCAGAGCCGCATGCGCTGCGTGGCATGTTCATTCGGGCAGAACCATCTCGAAGGTTCGGCTAGATTCCCTGCCAGCGCAGCGTAGATGCTGCCACGCAGGCGCCTCTACGGGAGTAGGCGGGGGTTTCCTGCCTGTCATCGACGAGGAACCCGAGCCGCCACGCAGCAGGGGTCCCCGTCGTTGCCCATTTCTTCACCCTCGTCTCTAATTTTTTCATTCAGTTTCCTGTCTAGCCCGCCTGGCAGGCGAAGCCATGGCGGAATTTAGTGGGACTCACATCCTCTTCAAGAAGAAACCACGCCGCACATGGCGACTTACCGAGGACGGGTGGTATACCCGTGAGCCACCAGTGCCTCCAGTGCCACCGGATCCCCCTGCACCCTCTGCTCCTCCTGCTCCCCCTGCACCCCCTGCTCCACCCGCTCCTCCCGCACCTCCCGCTCCTCCGAATCCGCCTGCTTTTGCTGCGGCAGGTGCTCACCAACGGCCCGTGCTCCAACTGTATTTACCAGCCACGTTCGACGAATGGTTGGCTGAAGCGGACACACCCAAGGCCCCCGATGCACGCATCCAAGCTCCAGCGACTGCACCACGGTGGGGACAACCAGAAGCCTGCGCGTGGGATGAGTCGGCTGTGGGCGCCGACGATGATGTGGCTGCCGACAAACATGACAGCGGCGCCGGCGAAGCTGGAGGCGACGGTGAATCTGGTGGCGACGGTGCAGCGGGCGACGAGGAAGACGTGTTCCCCGACCGTGACACAACTGCCGAGGACGAGGACAGTGTGGAGTCCTGGTGGCGCGACGCACCACGCGCGAAGATGCCGGTACCGACGTATCCGCCCCTTAACAAAAAACGCCCCCACCCGTCTACCGAGAATCGAGATGCCCGCCCCCCCTCCCCCAGGCACAAGCAGAATCAACATAAGCGGCAGTCCTACACCGCCCAGGAGAAGTTGAGGTGGCTCGTGCGGCTCGAGCTTGCGGCTTCGGTGAGCGAAGTGGCGCGGGAGTCAGGCATACACCGAAAATGTCTGACAGAATGGAAAGCCCAAGCGGAGGCGCTCAAGGCTGCACACGGAGCACGGATGCGACTTCACGGGCGCGGGAGGTCGTCTTGGTACCGCCCCATGGAGTTAAAGGTGTACGCGCAACTCCTCGACTGGCGACGCCGCGGAGTTGCGGTTTCGGTCGGCCGGCTGCAAGAGTGGTCCAAAGAAGTGATGAAGGTTCTCTACCCGGACGTCAAGTGGAAAGGCAGTCAGCGGTGGACGGAGCGGTTCCGCAAGCGGTGGAACCTCAGCGTGCGCATGAAAACAAAGGTGGCGCAGAAAACACAAGAGCGTAAGTGGGTCGTTTACTGCTGATTTTGATTTATCCCGATTATGCTTAGTTTCTTTTTCGCATGTCTCCTGTGCGTGATACTAATTTGGTTTACTATATGTACTTATCTCCCTGTTCCGCAGACGTGGCTGAGCAGTGCAAGGATTTTTGGCAGTACGTACGTGACGCCCGGAACGAATACGACATTGACAACCGCTACATCATCAACGCCGACCAGACACCGCTGTGGTTGGAGATGCCGGCGACGACCACCGTGGAGCAGACGGGCGTGAGGTCGGTGCCCATCCGCAGCGGTGGGTACCAGAAGGAGAGAGTGACCGACATGCTTGCGTGCACGGCGACGGGCGAGAAGCTGAAGCCGTGGGTGTTTTTCAAGCGCAAGACACTCCCCAAGGGTGACTTCCCAAACGGTAAGTGATCGTCGCGCGTGTTTATTCCCGTTACTACCAGAGTCGTCCACCGTTTCTTTTTCCTTGCGTGCAGATGTTGTGGTCGGCTGCCAAGCGAATGGGTGGATGGAGGCCGCTGGCGTCATCGAGTGGCTCAACACGGGCGTGGTGCCGTTCCTGAAGCCGAAATTCGGCCTGCAGAGTCGTAGCGCCATGCTGGTGCTCGACTCCTATCGCGGTCACCTGACACCAGAAGTCAAGGAGAGATTCGCGGCGCTCAACATCGTGCCTGCGATCATTCCGGCGGGATGCACGGCAGATCTGCAGCCCCTCGATGTGTCGATCAATAAGAGCTTCAAAGCAAGCATTCGTCAGCAGTACCAGAATTGGTTTGAGGAGGACGGCATGAACATCCTGACCCCGGCAGGTGAGTGACGATATGTGCTCCCGTCTGCAAATCTTGAGCTTGTATGCCTGTTTACTTGTCTCATGTTTTCCCCGCCCCACTCTGTGTGATGCAGGGAACATCAAGAAACCACCTCCGGAGGTGGTGCTCAAGTGGATTTCACAGGCGTGGAAGGCGGTGTCCGCCGACCTCATCAAGAGAGCCTTCCTCACGTGCGGCATCAGCAACGCCCTTGATGGGAGCGAAGACAAACTGGTGCTGGCGCACCGGAGAAGCCAGTTGTCCCATGAGGTGGAGGTGGACGACGACATCCAGGCAGATGGGTTCTGGGGCAACAACTCCACGGAGCCCGAGTCGGACGAGGAGGAAGAATAGGCAGTTTGGTAGACTAGGCAGGTTGAAAGGTGTGTAGTGCAGGACAGCAAAGACCACCCTTGTATGTGATTGTCTAAGTTAATGGAAATTTTAGAACATGTAGGCTAGGTAGGGTTTAAAAAAATGATATTCTTTTTTTTTTTACTAAAAGGGTGCGCTTATAATAAGTCACGATTTCCCAAGGGGTGCGCTTATAATTGAGGATCGGCCATAAGCGCATTGCTCCAGATACAAGCGCATGCGCTTAACATAGGCCTGCGCTTCTATCCGGGGCCATACGGTAGTTTTAGCTTTCTCATTATGAGTGCCTCCTGGAGAACTAACATAAGCCAAGGCCGGGGGTGTGGTGTGAGAAGTAGCAACCAGCTGGTTTTTATATAGCTGAGTACCGAAGCGACCGACTACCTAGCGATTGATACTGGCTGGCTGGCTGGCTGGCTACCTAGGTATCCAGAGTTGATGGCTGGTTGCCCTAGAGCTGGCTACCTGCTGCTGTTCAGTAGTGGTACGGTAGTTTTCGGACGTTACGGTGGTTTGGAAACATTGCTAAGACCTCTCCATCTGCAAGGGAACCTGGCATGGTGGTTTGAGTCTAAGAACCTTACGTGGTGGTTTGCTAAGAACCTTCTTCCCGTGCGTCGTGACCTGTGCCTTCATTCATCTGAAGGCTTTAGATTGCCAGGCTGTGCAGGGCCAAGCAAGCAGCTACAGGTAGCTGGCGAAACATTGGCAGCCTTACACGCCATAAATAGGTACTTTCAGCGTGCTTTGCTCGAGTCGGTATTATTTTTGTGCATTGATTTCCAATATGTCACAGGCAAATATAATGAATATTTTTAAAAGTGTAACGCTTTTCAAAATTTCGTATTTTGAAAGCGAAGCAGTCTGTAATGTAGGAATGGGCAGCGACGAACCGCGCTAAACGCCCGTTTTGGAGTACAAAACGTGGGCTGGAGGTCATTTCTGTCAAATGTTTATATATTCTATATATTGTTAGATAGGCTACTGTGAGTTGCCCTCTAAAGGGTACAACACTTTAGGTCGACATTTGTATCTCCTTGTCCCTCCTTACTAAAACATTACTCTCGACACTTGTCTCCTAGCCTATCTTAAGATGGTATTAGAGTAGGTTTTTTACTCCCTCCCACGCTTCCGCTCCCTCCCTTAGCCGGTCCCGAGGCGCCCGTCCCTTAGGCCCCGTTTCGTCGCGGGTAGGACGGCCCCCGCGGGCCTCGTTTTCGTCGCGTTTAAGGGCCCCCGCGGGCCTCGTTTTCGTCGCGTTTAAGGGCCCCCGCGGGCCTCGTTTTTCGTCGCGTTTACAGGGCCCCACTGGCCCCTCGTTTCGTCGCGCTCCAGAAGGGACTCTCCCCCCTCCCCCCGCGGGCCCGCGTAGTCGTTCTTAGCCCGCAGCAGCGCGCGCGTTAGCCAGCGGCAGCCGCGCACGCCACTGCAGCACGCGCATTGCAGCAGCAGCGCGTGCTTTGCTGCAGCAGCACGGCTAGGCAGCAGCGCGTGCATTGCAGCAGCAGCACGGCTAGGCAGCAGCGCGTGCATTGCAGCAGCAGCACGGCTAGGCAGCAACGTGTGCATTGCAGCAGCAGCACGGCTAGGCAGCAGCGCGTGCTCCTGCAGCAGCAGCACGGCTAGGCAGAAGCTAGCCGCCAGCAGCAGCTAGCCACCGGAACCTAGCCGCCAGCAGCTGGCGCCAGCTAGCCCCTCCCACCCGCCCACAGCCCCTTTCAACCGCTCACAGCCCCTTCCAACCGCTCACAGCCCCTTCCAACCGCTCACAGCCCGTTCCAACCGCTCACAGCCCCTTCCAACCGCTCACAGCCCCTTCCAACCGCTCAGAGCCCCTTCCAAACGCTCACATCCCCTTATCACGCGCGCACACCACCCAGGACCACCCGACCTCCGTTGGTTCGACACTCGCGTCACTCATACTCACAGTGTTTCGCACCGTCGCGGCTGGAGGCCGCTCCGCTTAGCTGTTTAGGCTAGTCCTGACGTTCGTTGTTAGCTAGGTCTCTCCTCGCTCCGCCAGCCCCTCGAACGACCCTCTGGCTCCTCGATCGGCTCGTCAGCCCTGCCTCCTCCAGCCGTGTGCTCCTAGGTCAGCTAACTCCCAGCTCCGTTCGTTACTAGACTGGCGTT